ACGAGCTGAAGTGTCGGTTTCTTATGATGTCCCATTGGGAAGGTGGGATATGAACAACTACAAATACAAGAACTGATAACAAGCCCTATTATTTGCATTAATAATGCAGTCCAACAGACAAAAACATAGGGAAATTCACTGATCTGATTTCTCCACTATAGAAGAAAGCCATCCCTATAATTTATTTAACACTCCAAACAAATAATGCAGATTATGTCACTATACCAAACACATGATCATACTGTATTTCATTAAAAGGTTGTAACAAAACATGCAAAGTCTTTGCCTAATTGAAGAATGAGCAAACCTCCCACCAGTTTTGTTGAAGAAGTTATATATATCTAATATCTTTTTAAGTTGCCTTTATTGCATTTGAGCTCATTGTACTGGTTAAGTTACCAGAGTTTTCCAAGTTGTAAGCATGGAAATTGTATAAAAGTGAAACCCAGCCACCAATGACACAGCAGCCAGAACTTCAGTACATGCAGTGATAAAAATTACTTTTGTGGCATTTTGTATTCCATGCTCTTTGATGTGGAAAGTGTTTTGTTTTGAAAGAAAAACATCAGGAAGATTTGTGTGTGTATCACAACATAGTAGTTCTACGGGCTAACCCTTGGTCAGAGTTGAAAAAGTGGCAGCAGTTCCCTGGTGGACACAGCAAAATGTTTTCTACCCTGCCAAGAACCAGGGATTAGAGAAAGTTGCTTCCCCGACAAATAAATAAAATAATATTTACGTGTGAACAGATGACACAAAATGAATGAACAGTTTATTTTTTGATTCTTCCATAGATAACATGGGCAAGGATTTATTTCATATTCTACAGTAGCTCTTAAAGACACCTATTCAAGTGGCAGTTAATTTGATAGGTGTTAGATGGGATATATGGATAACAAGTATGGAGTGCAAATGCCTTCTGTCTGATTTAAAGATGTGTGGGATGTAGCTGTAGGAAGCAGGTGTGCATGCACCTCTGCAAAATGATGTAGATCACAGACTACAAAGTGCATCAATCTATGCATTATTGAGGGTTAAATCCACTCTCCTTGCACTACATTATTTACTCTTGTAAATAAAAATATTTTTCTAATTCAGCTTGTATGTGGAGGATTATTTTTTTTAAAGCACCTGTCACATGAAATAGTTTCTTACCGTTGTAAATTCTCTGTGTTATTTAGGTGTCTATTTTCTTAGCTTCAAATGGGACAATCAACCCTTACTTTCTTTGTGGAATACAGCACTCGCACAGAGCAGACCTGGAAGAGTTCTTGTTTTGTTTTTCAGGCAAGACATAGAAGTTTTCATTAAGAAAGGTATTATTTAAAAGGAAAACAACCTCCAACCTTCGAGACAGAGAGATGTGTATTATATATATACACATATCACCAGGGTATGTTTCACTTGCAGAAAACTGAAAATATAAAAGTGTTCAGAGAAGAGTTGATGTTTCAAGGCAGCAGCTGCAAAAAAACCCCAGCTGTTAAAGCTTCCCCCCACCCCAGCCATATAATCAGAAAGTGAATTGTGTGCCACATTACTGAGCTTTTTAATTTATTTGAGCAAAAACAATGCAAAGAGTACTTTTCTTCTTAGTACAGTTGTAGATACATTTTTTTTCTTTTTAGGTATAGCTAAATATTTTGAAGTGCTACAAAGGAGCTTCACTCCTACATCTTAAACTGTTGAGTTGCAGAGGGTAGATGCTGTGCTTTTGGTGTCCATGGCAAATGGATCAGGAGCATTTTTGAGTCTGTTTTGAGTTGCAAGAACTGGTGCAGATAAATTTAATTATATAAAATTCCTTAACACAAATGTATGGATATTTCAAGAATTCTCTCAACTCTCAATTTATGATCTAATAAAAGAAAATAGTGTACATTTGTGTTAAAACTGGGGCAGGTTTAGATGGTAAACCCAGAAGTATTGCAGAAAGTCGGGTGTAGCCTTTGAAGACAAGTAGACAATTGTCACAACATAGGCATGACGTCAGGTACCAAATGGCACATACATCTAGATGGTCACAAAAAACTATTTGGACATGCACATGGCAAATCTTGCTTGCAGTGAGCCACATGTGCAAGATGTATTTTAATATATATGTCATACATAGCAAAACTGAAGCCCCTAGTGAAATATTAATCCCATGGGAGTTTGTCAGTGGTGGCACAATTGCAGCCCGTGTGTTGAAATCACAGGGTTTGTAGAGCGGCGATGGTTTAGGTTGTGTACATATGGGTCCGAATTAAGTGTTAGCAGTCAGACTGCATTTTCCTCAGAGTAAGCCCATGTTCTCAACTTTAGTGATTAACTGATTTGAGGAGGTTTGCCAGAAACACGATTTCACATCTGTATTTTAGAAGACAATGGCTGCAGCTGCAATGTATTTCTTGACGCCAGCAGTTAATAGTTAGGTCTTTGTTTATTGTTAGCTATGACATCAGAAGTTCTACCAAAGTATACTTGAAGTATGTTAAGATAAGCAGCTCTTCACAATAAACTGGCAATACTTAAGGCTGAAATAATAATAGTTACATTATTATCCCTCAGTTCTTAGATCTAGGGGACCATTATTTGACAACCTAGAGAATCAAACGATTCCCAGAGAGAAAGAGAGGATGGTCAGTTAAGCAAAGCAGCTCCATAGTTCTACTACATCAGGGAGGAGGGGAATAAAATAAAAAAGAATTGCTGTATCAAGAATTATTTTTCATAAAGTGAAACAAGACCACTGAAGTTTAATAGTTTCAACAGCCCATGCTGAGTGGTCAGGATGGGAATGAGGAAATAATAAATCACAAGCATAGAGCTAAAACGCTGGTTGTTTATGCACATTTCATAGTAGCCCAGCCATCTGAACAACACAGGTAGTGCTTAAGGCAGTAGGAGTGATGGCCATTTTTTCTCTTTTTCCCTTGGTTCAGGCCAGAATCACCTTCAGCAAGTAAGAGACAAAGAATTTCAGAGTGGTTATTTACAAAATAGATGCCCAATTATCTAAAGTTAATGCAGTTTACACCGACTAAGTAAACAGGTGTGTGCTACAGGAAGTGACAAGGAAGAGAAGATACCACACACAATGTATCAAAGTGCTATGAAAAAAATCATAGCTAGATACCAACTAGAGATTGAGAAATGGAGGTAGCTGAAGACAAGCATAAAAAAAAAAAGTCAACATTGAGTAGTTCTGAGTGATCAGTGACTTTAAGGTTATGTAGTAGGTGATTCAAACCGATTATGCACAATTTGGAACTGGACTGAAGTTTGCTCGGCTTTGACATAGCAAGGTAGTAGCAGGACAGGCCTGAATGTGGGCATCCTTCTGTGGGTGCCTTCCTGACCACTGCGCAGTGCTGCTTCCCAGTCCGTACGGTGATGAACGTTACATCCCAGGATACAGGCATGAGTGCATGCTTACAGTTATATTTTAAACACTGTGAAAAGTCATACCTTGCAATAGGAATTTTACTCAGTGATGAAGGGGCCAACACGCAGGAATTGGTACTGTCACCCTGATGATGCATTGTAAGTACACCCTCTGCTGGGACTTTTGTATTCCCATTTGAGCTACTGGGAAAGCATAAATGGTCTTTAAAAGCATGCGGGAAACATGGATTATCTGTGAAGAGATTTGTTTTATAGCAGGTTCTTGTCTGTGTAAGCTGTCCTCATTGACTAATGGACTATGACATCTAACACTGGCTGACTGATGGCCCTTACCCTGGATAAGATGCAGCACAAAGGTAGAAAACAGGTTGAATAACTTTAGCTGAGAAATTCCACCCGCACACCCTCTCGTCCCTCCTGTAAATGCATGAACTGCATTAAAAGGCTGGAATGTAGAAAGAGAACCCGAGTGAAAGAAAAAGCTAGAATTTTTGAAGAACAAGCTGAAGTGTAAGGAAGCTAAAGAATGATGAGGAGAGTGCGAGCATGGAGCAATTTCCTATGCTGTCTTCTAAGCTCTAGGTGACAGGAGCAATTCCTGAATAACCAACAGAACATGGTAAATGAAGCAGTAGCAGCTACTGGGATACAGATGTGCTAGAAATGGATGCAGCTTGGATGTTGATGAAAAGACCTAATTCCTACACCAGAAGGCCAAGTTACTGATTACAGTAAAAAAAGTAACGAGTCCATGTCTAAATACAAGATATCTGTGTTAAAAGCAGCCACGTACAGTTGAGTGAGCGTCAAAAGCAGACAAGGTTGGGAATAGTGAATAACAAAAATGGAAAGGAAAAGATCACATGCATAACTGCAGCAAGTGCTTACGTTGCAGTAAGCATGAGATGTGTTTGCAAACAAAAAAACCTAAACAAACAAAACCCTCAAAAAAACCAACAAAAACCAGCCACCAGATTAGCTGTTCTGAGGCACTGAGGTTGCAGATTTAAATTGCACTCGTGCTGTGCCCATTGACTCAAGGAACTTGGGTTGTTTGGCAAGTGCTATCACATACCCATCCACCTTTGGGTGCCTTAATAACCCCTTTGAAGAAAACTGGCTGCAACAAGTTTGTTTATAACTCTGCGTTTGGTAATCTTTCCTTTCTCCTAACGTACTCCTTGACCTTGCTTCCCTCCTCAGTTCGCATTCTCTGATTCCTGTTGTTCTCCTTCATTTGTCCACATTGACCTCTCCTTTAATCACTCATCAACCTTCTAAATAGCTCCTAATACTCAGCGTTGCTATTTGCTCTTATCAGTTCTGCCAGGTGAACAGGAGAAAGCTCAAGTCCATTAGCAGAGCCCAGCACTGTTTTATGACAGTCCACCGAAGTAGGAACTGCGATACCTGCACGGCATTTTCTATCTGTTCATTGTGGCATGGCCCGAGTCCTAGATTTACACAGCAAGTATCTTAATTGTGCAATTTAAAAGCAGATCTCCCTGGCTAGATTTGTATTAATAAACTAGTGAAGGTCAGGCTCTATTATCTGGCTGTGAGTGGTTAAACTCTTCCTGGGAATTTGGTTGCCTCATGGGACTGCTTGTTGGGACTAGTCCTGGTCCATAAAACCCCCAAATGATGCCCGGCTGTTGTCCAGGAGGACAGGCTCAAGTTAGGCCAGGAAGCACACCACCAAATAGCTGAGATGATAGTGAGCCAGTGTCCAAGCATATCCTTCAGGCTTTGTTTAGATTAATTGTGCAGATGAGCAGAGACTGCTGGCCTCTGTTATAGGCTTGAGACTCCTTTCCATCCCCAAGCAACTACTGTAAGATTAGTCCCTCTGATTTCACCAGCCTGTTTATCAGTGTGAGCCTTCCAGCAGTCCAAACATGTTCAGAGCTGGTTTGAAGGCTTGCTTTCTTGAGAGCAGTGTGCTCAGCAGGTGTTTATGGACCACAGGACAGCCTTTCCAAAACACACCTGTACTGACTGACTGGAATGATAAATCAAAATCTCCACTCATGCTTGTTCCAAGAAGACCAAAGTGTAGTTTTCCCCTTCTGCTCTGCAGAGTTGGTTAGTGGCAATAACACTGTCCCTGTCTCCTCATCCCTTACTGACTCTGTCTGCTGTCCTAGCCAGCGGACAAGGTTTAGAGGCTCACAGCTGCTCCTTGGTGTCACATAGCCCTTCCAAGCCATCTCCAATTGCACATAGACAGCTGGGCTGATTTAATTTTCAAGTCAACCAGAGCATGCCAAGTCCCAGAAAACAAGTTAACCATTTCAATTCATCTGGTTGCAATACCAATAGGGGAAACCCAGGTACATGTAGGGTGATGAAAATAGCTGTAGTTCTCTGTTAAACAAACATGAGAAATTGTGGAGAATCAGAAATCTTTCCTCTAGACATTTTAAAATCTTTACTGTTCAGCTGTGTCTGGTTCCAAGGAAATAAGTTATATATCAAATACACCAGCAGCCTTCAGACGCACCAATAGGCCAATATTTAGGAGTTAATTTACTGACCTGGAAAGCTGCAATAAAGAGAGACATGAATCCAAGTATTCCATAGCCTAGAATAATTCTGCCCAAGTTCTTCAGATACCCAACTCGAACTAACAGTATTAAAAGTGGTCTCCTACACTTATCAAAAGCACATTTATGTCCTTAGAGAGGCCAAAATCCACAAGAGAAGTGACAGCCATGCAGAGATAACCATGGCAAGTGCAGATGGGACCTCAGAGGCTCTTGGGGCCAGAGCCCAGATACAGTCTGGCAGCAGTGTTGCTGCACAGCCTGTTTCTCAGGCTCTCCTGGGGCAAACTCTTCTATCCCACATGGCATTGCATTATTGTGTTCTGCAAACGTACCTTCTGTGCATTTCCAGTGTTAAAAAGCTTCACTTTCACATCTTGCATATCCAATGAGAATACACAGGAGATCCTTGGTGCTTGGACACTACCTTTGGGCTGGGTTATGGGTTTAACATTGAGATAAACTCTTCCCCTTGCTCCTAGCATACCTAGCAACAAGAGGTTCCTGCTCTAGTCATTCCCATAACATGCAAGTCAAATCCTGGGTTACAACAATTTAAAGCTATTTCCATTATAATCTCTACCCTCAGTCCCTCTGGACCAGACCACAGGGTTTAACACCGCAATGAACTCCTCTCCTTGCCCCTGCTCCAGCTTGGACTTATCCATGGACTCCAGTCTCTTAGGGGTGTACCTGCTCCAAGTGGAGCCTTATCTACAAGCTGCAGTCTCTCCAGGGGTATACCTGCTGTGGCATAGACTCCACAGACACAGTCACTCTGAGGTATACCTCTTCCAATGTGGCCTTCTCCATGGGCCACAATGCCTTCAGAGATGTACCTACTCCAGCATGGCCTTACCCACAGCTACGGTACCTTCAGAAGTAAACGTGCTCCGACATGGCCTTACCCATGCCTGCAGTACCTCCAGGGGTGTACCTGCTCTGCTGTGGGCTTTCCCAGGGCCACACACTTTGAGGTGCTTCAGCATTACCTCATGCACAACCACCGATGCTTGAAGGTGTACCTGCTGCACCACTGACTTCTCCACAGGCACAGAAGCTTCAAGTTGTGCCTTCTCCAGCATGGACTTATCCTTGGGCCATAATCCCTTCAGAGGTACATCTGCTGTGGCACAGACATAACCACAGCTATGGATACTTTGAGATGTACCTACTCTGGCATAGGCTTATCCATGGCCACAGACACTTTGAGGTCACAATCCCTTCAACTCAGGTTTGCACTGGAGTTCCAGCCTGTCCAGTACAGCAGCAAGGAAACAGCAGCAATGCCCTGGCCACCTGCCAGCCCAGGTGCATGGCCATTGCCATTATCTAAACGTTCCCAGGTGCAGCAGAGGAAGATGATAAGCAGTACAACAAGCAGTGAAAGCAAAAAGCAGCCGCTGATGAGCATGGGACTCTAATATACAATAACACAAGCAAGGCCCATGGCAAGAACAGAAGCCTGTCAATTAATAGCTAAACAGCAATAACAGCTATAAATTCAATCTAGCATATTCTAATCAAATCTGTCATTATCTCAAACCCTTTGAGCCTCACTTTGAGTGCCAAAAAGGACTGCTGTAGTTTAACCTCAGCTGGCAACTGAGTACCACTCACTTTCCCCCCAGTGCAATGGGGAGAGAATCAGAAGGGTAAAAATGAAAAAAACTAGTGGGTTGAGATAAAGGCAGTTTAATAGGTAAAATAAAAGCTGTGCATGCAAAGAAAATCAAGGGATTCATTCACTACCTGCCATGGGCAGGCAGGTGTTCAGCCACCTCCAGGAAAGCAGGGCTCCATCATGTTTAACAGATACTTGGGAAGACAAATGCTGCAACTCCAAACATTCTCCCTTCCTTCTTCTTCCCCCAGCTTTATATGCTGATCATGATGCTATATGGTGTCATACAGTGTGGAATATCTCTTTGCTCAGCTGGGGTCAGCTGTCCCATCTGTGTCCCCCTCAAAATTTCTTGTGCAGTCTCAGCCTACTCACTGGTGGGGTGAGAAGCAGAAAAGGCCTTCACTGTGTACGCACTGCTCAACAATAACTAAAACGTCCTTTTAATATGAACACTGTTTTCAGCCCAAGCCCAAAACACAGCCCCACACCAGCTGCTATGAAGAAAACTCTGCCCCAGCCAAAACTAGCAAAACCCATAAAAGCATCATGGCAGAGTCTGGTGCTTTAAATTGAGGTTAGCTGAAAAAGAAAGCCATTTTTGTTTGGCTGTTAATAAACTGAAGCAAGGGGAAAAGAAAAAAAAAAGCACTTCTCTGACTCTTTACTGCAGTTCTCCGATAAATACGGTGACTTTGTTTACAACAGCACAGAAGGACTTCGAATAGTCTCCTGGAAATCTATGTGTAGCACAAGTCAAGATGAGGTAGTTCAAGGACAATTGATCATGGTAGTTCCTTCCATGGGCTATCCCAGGTGCTGCCAGCAACTCAACCTCTACTTGCTCTTCCGTGCAGAGATAACTGTCCCTTTTCAGCCAACAGTACTGGGTAAAGGTCCAGACAGCAACAGTACTTGAACCCTGCTTGAGTTTATAAGCCATGTTAGATCACTGATATTGAGTGGTAATGCCACAGGGAGCAGCACAGAGTTGGAACATCCATAATTGGTCCAGGGCATGGCTGAGCTGTGATCCGGGGCTTCTACCTTGTAAATTTTCTGTACTGTTGGTCTTGCCATAGTTTCCACTTAAGCCCTCAAGGCTAGTCCACACCAGCATACATTTTTGGGCACAGGTGAAGTAAATTAATGAGATGCATAATCTACACTGCGAGACAAATTTATTTTATATCCATCACATTAAGAACATTGAGTCACTCTCACAGTGTTCTCCTTTAAGGCTTTTGCTTGCTAGAAGCAAACATAAGAATGTGTCCTCAGGATTTGTATCTTGCCAATAATAAAGTAATGATTTAGATTGTTCCCTTGGACATTTGACTTCCAGATGAAGAATTGCACACATTCAGCAGGACAGTTTCTGATAGAAATGGCTTATTATTGCTGAAAGACTGGACTTTATACCACCATGCAAATAAAACAGTGCTTCAGAGCAGTTCCCCTCACCAGAGAAAAAAATATCACATGACTGTCCTTGTGTTTTATGACAGAAAACCAAATTACTCTGCTAGACCTGACTGAACATATGAGCCTTTACAGAAATCTTCTTCCTATTCAAAGACCATGGGAGAAAGGCCCACAGGCCTTGGCAAGTGTGAGTATTCAGGAGATAAAGTGCAAACTTGGGAGCTGAATGTCCCATTTCATTAAAAATTAATATTTCTAGAAGTTTCTTCCACATGAAGGTAACACTGAAGTACTCAATTTTTATTAATTCAGAATAGTTAAATTCTCATTCCAATCCTTTTCCTGCCTTACAAGCTGGAATTTAGACATGTAATTTTTGTTGACATCAGCAGTTTATAAGCCCCCAAATCCATTGGAAATACCTGTCCTTATTTTTTCCTAATTTGTTCCAGCACTCTTTAAGACTCAGAGAAACAGCAGTAAGGAACTCAAAACTCAGAGATACCTGTGATACCTCTGTAACTTTTATTGCAGCTTCTGCTACTGTAACGCCAAAAAAACTGTCTGTGTGAAGGTTCCCCAGTGCCCAGCATGTCCAAGGACCTGCTACTCTACTGCTGCCTTTTATATAAATGAAAGATGTATACCTATCATACTGATAGGGCTACGTGTTTATACTACAGTATTTAATAATAAAAACACTGCCTTTTTATACAAAAAAAGCTTTGTGACTGGACAACCTACCCAAGATGAAGCAGGACTCAATAGCCTCTTAGTCCAAGGAGGTTCTTGTTTACGTCTCTCACTCCACAAGAAACTGCCCTGCCCCAACAAATTACTGATGCTAGCAGCAAAAAAAAGCAGCCACCACCTGCCTGTTATGCCAATAGCTTCTAAATCCTCTTTTCTGCTTAGAGCTTTTGAGCCAGCCCTGGGCTGGAGACACCTGGCTAGCTCACAGTAAGATCAAGTCCCTGAAGCAGCACTGCCATGTCACATCATCATGGAGGTGACAATCCAGGCACGCAATCTTGCCATGCAGTATATGCACCATACCACTTGCAGCTCTGGTACTACCTACCTGTCCCTGGGCTGGAGGAACTCAGCGGCACATTGCACTAACCCTCACCTCGTTATCTTTTCCAATGGATGCCTTCCCATGCCACATGGTGGTTCCTCTCTCAGCTGCCTAACTTTCCTTCCTTCGTACAGAGGTGTTCTAATGCCTATAGCTAGGCAGTGTAACACCAAAAATTGTGTTTCAGCTTTCCCTCCAGGACAGGAATTCTGCCACTCAAGGCAAAGCAGGACAGGTGGGATTTTTCTTGTATTAAATGCTGTATTGCCTCAAAAACTTGAGTGAACCATAATGCAGTATTTATCAACTCAATTTTGTAATCTAGTATACTGCAGTATACTGCATACATTTTTAGTGAAAAGACTTTCAGGTAATAAATAACAGGTTATGATCCTCCAGCATGTCAAGACCTTTGCTACAGTAATACTTTCTGCACATTTATCTTGGTGGGTAATTTGTTCAGAACAGTAGCTTCAGTGACTATCTGATTCTCACATGGTTTGGTCAGCACCTGGCCTAATCTCCTGTCAATAAAGTGCTTCCGACCATTTACTCATATCACTGTTATCCAGCAGCTTTCTTGGTCTGCTTGTGGGCTGTCCTGCCAGCTATCAGCCCTGCCTGGCACAACCCCAGCTCAACCCATCCAGAGCTCTGCTCAAGCAGAGGGTGTCTAAACTAGGTTTTAAAGACTGCTTTGCAACTTCATTTAAGGCTTATACCCACTTCAGTCCACTGGAGAAACCAGCACTCCCTCTTAACCACTTCACAGCTGGGAAAGCCACATCCTTTTTAAGCATTTTCTCACACAATAAAACCACAAGGCTGGTTCAATTTCCATTGTTTTTTATGGAATTACAGAACTGTAGGTGACACTGGTTTGGTTCAAACCCCCTCTTGTAGCACAGCACAAGCTGGATCTGCTGGGAATAGGCTGGGACAGTTTTAGCTGATGGTTCTGCTCAAAGACAACAGGCAGCTACAGAACAGGCACTGTTCTGTTCTAAGGCCTGCATCAGGGTGATTTTGGGTAGAATTCCTTCATGGCTTTCTTCATTCAGGTTCCTCCCTCCTGTGTTTCCCGCTTCTACAGGGGCAAGCACTGTTGAGGGGTAGATGCTGATGGGACAAGTGCAAATGCACAAGACCAAGTGCAGCACATGGTACTTAGCCTTTTTGTATCTCATGCAATTGGCCTCAGACCATCAATCCCTCTGAAGAGCCTTTCTACCCTCAAGCAGATCAACACTCCTGCCCAACCTGGTGTCATCTGCAAACTTACTGAGGGTGCAATCCATCCCCTTCCTGGAGGTATTTAGAAGACTTGTAGACGTGACATTTAGGGACTTGGCAGTATTAGGTTTACAGTTGTTCTTGATGATCTTAAAGGTGTTTTCCAATCTAAATGGTTCTATGATTCTCTATCCATCCCCAGCTGAAATTCTCAGCACCTCAGTTCGTCCAACATTATTTTAGATGAGTTGTTGATGTTGTGCAGTGATGGTTATCCCTATTTTATATGGGGTTTTTTCCCTCACAACAAAAAGTGCAAGCTTTCTTCAGAAAGGCAAGCATTCTGCTCTGTATTTAGTAGCACCCAAAGCACAAAAACCTGATCCATCCCTCCTAAAGCATTAAAGCAATAATGAGCAATAAGTGCACATAGATATCTATTGCCCTAGTTGTTGGTTTGTTTGTTTTTTTTTTTTCTTTTCTCTCTTACAGGCAGGATAAAGTCTTAACTAAGTTAAGACTTAACTAAGGTAAGCAGAGCAAGTTTCAGTGTTACATAAACCTTCGCAGAAGTTAGCTCATGACCAGGGAAGACAGACAAAAGAACAACACTCTTGCAATAAAAATCAACAAAAAGATCCTCAACAAGTACAACTTTCAACATCACTGATGTACCCAAGAAAAAATACCCTCCCCTTCCCCTAGATCTCCTCTGCTTGAAGAAAATACCCATTCTGAATAGAAAACCCATTCCTTTCTGCTGTAGTACAATGGTTCAGACCACCTAACTGGTGCCAAATGATAGAAAAACTAATCACTTACCTCCTCATTAAACAGTCACAGTCTTAGATTATGTGTCCCTAAGACCATCCTTTCTTACCAGGAGCTAATCTTCAGACACTTAAATACATAACAGTTTCTGACTCATACCCTTAAAGCAAAAGCTGACTGCCCACAAAAAGGTTTATTTATTATTTGTTGGTTGGTTTTTTTTTTCTTCAGGCATTTTTCAGCTGTTTTCAATCACTTCTTTTTGCTTTAAAGCATCACCAGCTGTGTCCCAGGAGCCCTGATTTAGCTGTCTGAGATGCTTTGTCTCTCTAGGGCAGTTTTTCCTCACCATTTTTAAGCTGAAAAGCTGCTTGAAGGTTTTAGGAGTAAAAATATAATTATCCAACCCAGCCTCAATGGTGTTCATTTGTAACCCAACAGATACTAGGTAACATTTTGAGTGTTTATTTATGAGTTTCAATTTTTACTTCATTTACTTGTTTGCATGTGTGGAAATACATATGGTTATTTAAAAAACAAAAATGAACAACAACAACAACAAAAATCCCCAGTTATGGCTGCTTGTGGTATCTTACACAGCATCAGTTATCCTACTAGTGATGTGCAGAGCTAAGACGAAGAAATACCTATTGTACAACATAAACATTCAGGCATATGCACACATTGAAAATTGTGCCATATGGAGGCCAAGGTCAATGCCTGTTCCTGAGGAGAGAGAGGCACCTGGCCCAGGTGAAGGAATTTTAAATTCCTCTGGGATTTGCATCTAGAATTGCCAGGACGTGTCAACAGATGGCGCTGAAATGGCCCTTTCTACCACTCGGGTGGGAAATTCATTCTCAGCGCTGTGGTATTCTCCATTAACCAGTCTGCTTTGTTGAAGATGCTGTAGGTATGCTGAAGGAATTCTGTTGTCCTGTCTCATCATCCTTTAAAAGGTAGCTAAACCTTTTAAATGCTGAATTTTATGTGAAAGCACGAAGTGTTCGCTCCCTACTGAGGAACAAGGCACTTTGCAAAACTGATCTGTCTGACGTTTTGGCTTAAATCTGCTCCTGAGTGAAAGAGGGAGGACCCCCCCGAGCTCCCTCTACGTGCTGCCCCATACCTGAGCCAGCCCCGAGCCCCAAGGCCTTGGTGGCCAAACCCCCAGGAAACAGAGTGTCCTGGGGACCTGACAGCTCCACCATGCGCTGAGCCGAGTATGGGGACAGCCCCAGGAGAACGTACCAGGCCATTGCGTCCTGCCACATCTCCTGAGTCTTCACTGCCCCACAAATGCCCTGACACACAAGAGGGGTTATGTTTTGCTTTTGTGGATGCTCCAGCTGAGTCATCCCTCCAGCTCTTACCAGCTCAGCTTTTTGACCCAGAACAGCTTCTGCAATATT